AATGTCTGGACCCCCTTAAAGGCAGTATGCAAATATAAGCAGAGGATTTCAAACGGATCTTTGGCAGTGACCTGCAAGGATGTTTAAGATTCTGAGAAATGCTGGGCACATTACCTCTAAGGGTCCCCTAGCCTTACGATTATACCGCTGGTTAACAAGGTTGACTATGAATGACTAGAATTTTAAAAAATAACTTCTCTCTACCAGTAATAACAAAATTTCAGTGTAACAATATTACCATCATCTTCAATGGTAATTCAGTGTTATAACTCTCATCTGTAATGTGGGAGGCACAGGTTTCATTCCAATTAAAGCAACAAAAATCTCCTGAGGAAACACTGTGGTGCAATGAAAATAGCACTAGACTTAGAGCTGGGATTAGTTAAATTCCAGGACTTCCACTAATAACCTGTATAGTTTTGGGCAAGTCACTTTCCTTCTCTAGTCCTCAGTTTCCTCATCTGTCAAATGAAGGGACTAGACTAGATGACCTCTAAAGGTCCCTTCCAAGTCTAAATCTACGATCCTATGAATTTGATGGGAAATGTTCAAAGTTTTCATTTTTTTTTAAATCTATATAGTTAAATACAAGACTATAGTTTTTAGAGAGCTTTATTTTTTTAAAGTTATCTTACGCCTTTTCATGGTTGACATCTCTAAGTCTCCTTCCACTGAGATCTCGACATGCTTCTCGATTAGTTGTCTTTTCAATCTGAGCACCAAGAGCTCGAAGCATAGATCCAAAGCCTGAGGAAAAGTGATAAAATTTCAAATGAAGAATTGTCCAATAGATAAACATTTTTTTTTATTTCCAAGTTGCTAAATTTTATAACACTAAACAGCTGCTATGCAAACTTTAAATCCACTGGGGGGTGGGGGGAGAGAAAAGCTCATTAAAAACATAATATGTTACATGCAGTTTTATCTAAGGATTATAAAGCATTTTTAATTGTACAAGAAGTTGTACCACTGACAACTCTAAAGATTAACAGTGCTCTTGAAAATTTTGCAAAACAAACTAAGGTTCTGACCACCCCAAGCAACATACATAAAAGAATTTGCAAACCACTTTTTTTCAACTAAATGATTTTTTTCCTTTTAGGTTCTTTTTCTTTCCTTATGGAAACAGTTCTTTCTCTCATAAAAACACCTGTGCTGGGCTAAGATATTCCAAAAGGACAGGCAGCCAGCCAAGGGTTCTGAGACGAATAGCTCTGGAAGTCATTTGGTAGAAGATTGCAGAGTATCTAAAGGAAATATAATTTTAAGCTATAACTAGTTAGTCTAATGAGTTCCTCCTGTGGGATTCAAAGTTGTTAAATATTCCAAGTTGCTATTTCCTAGCTCCCCCAACATTTGAAGTTATCTAAGGTTCCAAACAGACGCTGTGTGTTATATCTAAAGAAATCCTAGGAAGCATTTACATGCTGTGTTCACTTCCATAATTTATTCCCTCATCCTTCTCAAATATTTTACTGTAGACAAATTATTCCTGCAAATTGAAACTATAAATATAATCTTTCTACTAACTCTTTGCCTCACTTTCACTTCCAGTCCTTAGTTTGAACTTGGAACTCCACTGGATCTCTAGCAACCAATTGAAAAATTGGTAGAAGAAGAAATATTATGATAATATTCTTCCTTTTATTTTAAGCAAACTATTTAATCAATAACTTCTCTTCGACTCTTGTTACCAAAGTTTTCAGAGATCAGGAGTTGTCAGAATGCTAGGGAAGAAGTTCTTCCTTTTAAAAATTAAAGGAAAATATTTAAATAGGAACAAAAATAGGACATAATTATCTAGATATATCATTTCCCTGGTAACATCAAACATAAGTTACCTCCTTTTCCTCCACAGAGTCTGGGCTCCAGACTATAAACTGCTCCATATTGAATGACATCTTCAGTATTAGTTAGCTGTCCATTACACTTCACATAGAAACAATCCACTGGAATACCCTAAACAAAATAAAAAGTTCTTCAAAAAATGCCAAACATTTTTAAAAATTAAGAGTGCAGGCAAGATCAGGAAAACTAACTGTATATACACTGACTACATATACAAACAAAGCCAAGAACTTCAGGTGGACTTGGAAGGTCCACCTGAAAAGAAAATATACTTGTTACCTCATTCATCTGTTTGGCTTCATGTTGTCACATACTAGGGGCTTTATGTAAGATATCTGTCTTTATTTTGTATCTTTTTTTGTTGATAATTAGTTTATAATAATTTTTAAAAATAAGTATGAATGTATGTAAAAACAAGAAATACAAAAGAAATAAGTTGTAGATACTGGATTATAGGTATAATTCAACTCAGATTCTTGGAGCATATTTTAAAAGACTCTCATACCCCTTTTAGTTATAAAACTGCTACCTTCTGTATAGCACAGCATCTGGCTTGGCCATACTAAGAAGTTTTAGGGCCAAGAACAAATTACACAGTGATTTCCATAAAATATTTTTATACCAGTGAAATCAAGCTAAAACGAATTATAAAGAAGAGCCTGAAGAGGGGAAAAACAAATCACAAAAAGGCAAAAAGAAGCCTGAGGTGTGGGTAAGTGGGATGGAAAAGGAGGGGTGCCTTAAGGAGCTGTACAGCTACATTACCATTTTTGCTGTTCTTTTTTAAAGCGCCAGCTGGCTCTGCTAATTGCCTCCTTGAATCACTGCCAATCACTGCAATAGCCCTGGCTCCCCAAAGCACCAGGTTAGTTAGCTTCACTTCACAAAATAAACACTTAGTACATTCTAGGAGCCCTCAGTGATAAAGTGAGAGAAAAAAAGGCATGAAAAGTTCTTCCTTATCATGAAAAGCTCTTTATCACCTTATACCTGGACTATTGTTAATAGCTTTCTAGTTGGCCTTCCTGCTTCAAGTCTCATCCCACTCCAATCCATCCTTTACTCAGTTCTCAAATTAATCTTGCTAAAGTGCAAGCTGGATCATGTCACCACCCCAGCCTCGAATTTCAAGTCAATAACCTCCAGAGTCTCCCTACTGACCTCAGGATCAAATACAAAATCCTCTGATTTTTAAAGATCTCCATAATCTGGTCCTTTCCTACCTGTCCTGTTGTCTTGCACCTTACTCTCCTTCACATACTCTACGATCCAGTGACTCTGACTTCTTTTCCATTCCTTGAACAACACACACCATTTCCTGATCCTGCGCATTTTCCCTGGCTCTCCCTATGCCTGGAATTCTCTCCCTCTTGGTTTCAAGTCCCCCCTAAATCCCACTTTCTTAAAGAAGTCTTTCCCAGTCTTCCTTAATATTAATGCCTTCCCTTTGTTGATTATCTCCAATGTATCCTGTATATATCTTGTTGGTACATAGCTGTTTGCATGCTATCTCCTCCATCAGGTTGTGAACTTTTTGAGGGCAGGGACCATTTTTGCCTTTCTTTGTAAACAAAGGCTTAGCACAATGCCTGGCACACCACACATATTTAATAAATGTTTGCTGACTTCCTAAACTATTAGCCATTTCACAGATGAACACCTCCCCCATGGGTTTTCTTTTTTGTTGTCATTGAGAATATAGTTATTGTGTTTTATTAGAAATATATTCAAAGTCTTATTGTCCAAAACCTGATTACTTCAAAGGATCATAGCTCTAAAACAGGAAGCGATATTAGAGACCATTTAATCCAACCCCTTCATTTTACAGATAGGAAGCAGAGTCCCAGAGAGGTTAAGTGACTTGCCCAAGGTAACACAAGGTAACCAGAGAGGGGATTTTAACCCAGGTCCTCTGATTCCAGCCAGTGCTCTTTCTCTTGTACTACACAGTCTCCCTGGCAACTTTAAATGTTATAGGGAGTTTGGTAAAGTCTTTCATCATTGTGGTGGTTCTGAAACACTTGACTAATACTTTCAATTTTCTTAGCTCTGATTAACTTTTTACTTTCCATTGGCAAGAGCTCATTTTCCTCCCCTGGTCCCATTTTGCATGAACTTATCGATTTAAAACCTGTATTTAAAGGATTAAGAGTTAGACATTTCAGAAACACTAACATCCGACTCACTTTTGGAAGTGTTCTCTAATTCAAATGGTCACGGTTGAAACAGGTCTGTTGGCAGTTTGTAAAGTAGATTGTGTGTGGGAAGAAAAAGAGGAAGCTGAAAAACCAGAGTATTTGCAAACAGACATTTCCTCCTTATGGAAACAGTCCAAGACTTCGAAAGCACTCATAACTACTGTTGTTTTAGCCTGTTTAATGTGTGAACGAGAAAGGAAAATACAGCCCAATACAAAGGGGAAATGCTTCAAATAACACAAGCCTCTTAAACTAGAAGAGCTACGCACCCGTGACCACGTCAACACCCTCATCTCCTCTGCCTCCTCCTGAGGAGGCGAGCTCAGGGTCACGATAAATCTTGGCCACGGAGTTGGGGCCCTCATGGCAGACAACCAGCCCCGGTGGCCGCGGGCTGCTGTGGAGATGGGGTCCCAGCCCCAGAAAGGCTGACACCAAGCAGGGCATCCCCCAGCGCGCTCCTGATGTCCGAGGGGCTCACGCCATGAACGTTCAGAGGCTCGAGGGAAATGCGAGGACGGAGAGACTCCCCCAACCAGCCTGACCCTCCAGCCTGGCCCAGCCTAGCCCAGCCCAGTCCTGGGGACCTCAAGAAGAGCCTCTGTCGCTCGCGTCTCTCCCCTCTTCTGCCTCCCCGATCCGCGCCCGTGCCCCCTTACCCTGTGCCGGCAGTAAGAGCCGATGAAGTCCCGTACCAAAGCCCGAGCCGAAGACCACGGCACCGCCCAGCACTCGGGGCCGGGGCCGCTGACCAACACGGGCTGCCCGGCCGCCATCTTCTCAGCCAGAGACTAAACAGCTAAGCGCAACACGGCAACCGCGTCCGGCGCGTCCTGATGACGCAAAAGCGGCTCCACTCCTAGGCCCACCTTCTTCTCCACACGGCAAAGCCTCGCCCCGCCCCCCAGCCGCTTCTCCTCCCCCCTTCCCTCCCCGCCCCAGAAGAGTCACGTGAACCGAGCCCCCGGGGGTTCCGGCGGGGAACAGGAAAGGTCTGGCGGAGGCCGATAAGGGAGTCCGGAACCAGGGCGAGGCGTTGCTAAGGGGCGGTTGCTAGGGCGGTGCTCGGGGACTCGCTCTATATAAGGGCCGTGGCCGCAACTGGCCCCGTGTTCCGGTTTCCCGGCTGGCCTGTTTGTCTAGGATAATCGCGCCGTGGAGCCCCGCTTCTCGTCACGTGTGCCCCACAGCCAATCCGCTGTTTTGTTGTTGGAAGGCGGGCGCTGAGGCCCGCCGAGAACGGAGCAGGGTCGGGACAATCTGGCCGCCGGGGTTGGGGGAGGCTTTGTGCTTCGGCTCAGCTCGCCTGCCCTACCCGGGCCCGCCGCGGGCCACCATCGGGCTCCCTCCCCTGAACGAGAGCTAGCCTCAGGTTGCACGCCCCGCACGTCCCGACTGCTTTCCGGCTGCGCCCTGCCCCCATCAGGAGGAGTTGCTCATCCTAGAGGAGACACACTGGCCGTCCTCCTCTACACCAACCTTAAAGTAATTAAGGGGCGGGGCGCCTCCGATGATTGCATCGCGCACAAGCGCTGCAAAGGTTCCAGATACAGGGAGGCCTCCCAATATACACCAGTATTTGTTTCCAGAATTTGGAACGGTTTTAAAGATGGGTGGTAGAGGAAAGTCAGAAAGGTTATATGCTAACACCTAGTTTCTGACTCACATGTTAAGGACGTAGGTTGCCGCCTATGGAATTGCTTCTCTGCTAATAAAGATGCTTGACATTTGCAAACCTAAAGGGGGGGTAAAAAAGTCTAGAATAGCATAAGTGCAGAGATGCAATGGGCAATGCCAGAATTTCAGGGCCTCTAAAATCCTGGTATTTGACTTTCACTTTTGTCAAGAGAGGAATGGGCCGGAGGGTCTCTCAAGCAGGATGACACAGGAAGGGTGAGAAGGAATGAGGCATCCTTAAGGGATGAAATTACAGAATGTCCTTATGTTGGTGTCACAGAGAAAAATAAGGTATCATGGTTTTGCTTCTTTCAGTCTTCTTTCAGTACCGCTTGCACCTAGTAAAAGGTATGGGTGTGCCCTTTCAAATTTCGAGTGGATCATTTTGCACCTTTTAATAAGATGTGTGAGACTGAATAACTCCTACTCTGACTTCTCTTCCAACCCCTTCCCCCATTCAACAGTGTAAAGAGTAAGAAACAGAGTGCCCCACCCTTTATTTTAATAAACTGCTTATAGAAAAGTGTTTATGGTTCTTACTCCTTTAGGAGATTTGAAGAGGCCATCAAATAAGGTAGCTGGCTATGGATTGGCTGAAGTATTGAACCAGGATTGAGCTAATTTTAAAAAGCAGGTTAGCCAGTTTTGAAGTCAGTCATGAGAATGATTTCTGTCAGTGGAAGACTCATTTTTGGCTGTTGAGAAAATAAACAACTATGGAGAAAGAATTCAGCCTTTGAGGGAATTGGTTTTTTTGCTTTTATACCTCTCTTGCCACCCCATCAGCTGTGGCATCTTGCCATCGGGCAACTTGCTCAGATAGGGCCCCTTAGGAGCTAATATACTCAGCAGAGAATTGACCCAGAGAGAGTCCAGCTGGAGAGCTGAGTTAAGCTGCAAAAAAGAGCGGGCCCAGGGAGCCCAGCAGAGCAGTGTGCCCAGTAGAGGTACTGTGCCCAGCATTAGGTGAGAACAGTAGGAAAAGAGAAAAGATATTAGGGTGATGTAGTATTAGAAGCATGACTGTCTTGGCCATGTTATCACCACATGTGTGCCTCTGTGCTAGTTAATATGCTATGTGTGTGTGCCTACTCTTTCCACTGATAGTATGTCTGTTTTTGTAGGAGTGATTTCCAGGTTTACAGAAAAAATGTTTGGTTACTCCTGCTCATACTATGCCATTTCAGTAAATGCATTGCTTTGAGCTAATGGTATCACCTGGCTGATGAATACACAGGTGGGTTCTTGTTAACTATAATGTAGACCCAAAGAAATACAGGGTGATTTCGTTGGTATAGGGGAAAAAAAGGGATGACAAAAACTCCCTCTACCAACTCAGGTTGATACCTTCTCTGCAATTTACAGATTTCAAGAATCACCTAGAGCACTGAGAGTGACTTGCCTGGGGTCACACAGTCAGAAGCAGAACTTGAAGGATTTCCTAGCTTGAAGGCCAGATCTCTATCCACCGCTGTTTGTCTGGTATTGTCATTATACTCATACTTGACTTTTTATCCCAAGGAACTAAAAATACCATATACAACTTGAGGACTAGTGTTGGCTTCCTCCTATAAAGAGGAAACTGAGGCATCAAGCCAGTGAGGCACCCATGATATCTGTCTGTGGAAACATTTCTTGGAAAATGTTTACAGATTTCTGCTCTCCTTGGTAAACTGATGACTTTGACAGTCAATAATAATGGCTCACATTTATGTATCATTTAAAGATTTGCATACACTTATTTGAACCTCACAACAATACCGAGAGGTATGTACTATTATTGTCCCCATTTTACAGATGGGAAAACTGAGCCTTAGAGAGGTTAAGTGCCTTGGGTCAGAAAGCTATCAAGTGTCTGGGGCAAGATCTGAACCCCAAAATTTTTTATTGCATGTAGCACACTATCCAGTACTCCACACTACCTCCTCAGATTGGAACTGCCTTGCAAGAAGGATTCATCCTAATTCAGTCACTCTACCTGTGTGACTTTGGGGCAAATCACTTATCTCTCTGGACCACCTTCTCTTTAAAATGAGGGTGGGATTAAGATCTCTTCCTTCCCTGAAATTTTATAATTTAGCCAGGCATACAAGACATATTAGTAGGAGAACTAGGAAGAAATAAGGCTTAGCTGAGAGGAGGGTCTAATGGTTGAGGTATCATTACTGGCCACCCATAAAGATTACTTTTTTTGCCATAGCAGGTTCCACCCACTCCAGAAGAATGTCATAGAAGGTAAGGAAGATAAGATGAGGGAAAAAGAGTGAATTGTGGCTACAATTTACCTCAACCAAGGTTGTTGTATCTCCTGTGTGGGTGTGTGGCAAGCAAATATGTAATGGTAAAGAAGCAGGGCACCTCTAGTCCCTAAATAGCTGGCAGATCAGTCGATAAGCAATTGATAAATGTTTACTGTGTGCCAACTACTTTAAGTGCTGGAGACACAAAAAAAGCAAAAGCACATTCTCTACTTTCAAGAAACTCTAATAGAGGAGGTCACTTTTACAAATAACTATGTACATACAAGGTATATACAATGTAAATGGAGGTTAAACTCAGAGGGAAGATACTAGCAAGTGAGGACGACCTGGAAAGGTCTCTTTGCAGAAGGTGAAATTTGAGCTGAATTTTAAAGGAAGGCACTCAAAGCTAGGAGGCAGAGGTGAGGAGCAAGAACATTCCAGGTATGGGGGACAGACAATGGAAATGCATGAAGGCTAGAAGTGCAGTGGAGGATGTAAGGAACAGTAGGTCCTCTCATGTACCTGGATGGTGGAGTGTGTGGAGAGGAGTTAAGTGTAGGAAGACTTGAAAGATAGGAAGGGCCCAGGTTGTGAAGGACAAACAATTTTATATTTGATCTTGGTGGTAATAGATAGACAGTGGTGTTTATCAAGTAGGGAACTGACCTGGTCCAACCTGAACTTTGAGAAGATCACTCTAGAATGGGAGACCAACTAAAACTGGTATTGCTGTAGTCCTGGTGAGGAGATGGTGGTGGTGGGTGTGTGAGTGTAGAGAAGGGGACATATACAAGAGGTATTAAAAAGTGAAAATGATAAGATTGTTGCAGTCCTTTTAGCAGTCTTTTTGGTGTTATCACATTAGCTCTGTTTTGTGATTTTTGTGATGCTTTCTTGCTCTAAATCCTGTGTGGTTTCCCTGATTCTCTCAAAGCTGTACTCTTGCAAATACATATGCAGTAAGTTCTGTTACTATCCTCATTTTACAGATGAGGATATTGAGTCAGAGGTTAAATGCACTGCCTAGGGTCACACAGCTAGTAAATATCTGAGGCAAGATTAGAATTCGGGTTTTCATGACTTCACAGCCAATACTCTCTTTACTTCCCTATCTAGCTACCTACAAAAGTGAGACAGACTTTCATGTCAAAGAGTTTATATTCTATTCTCCCCATTAATTTTGCCATGCAGGACATAAATTTTCCTCTTATAATTTTCATTTCTCTTTTAAACCACTCAGGAATAGAGTTGTTGCCATTCCATGTTCTCAAATCCCAGAGGGTCATCTGTCTCATCAAGTATTGACTCATTTGTCTTTGTTTTGCAGTATTTATTCATAGATTCTTAAACTCATTTACTAGATCTGAAGGCCATATTTTCTTCTGCTGTTAATTTTCCCTGTTGATCTACCTGCTTAAATTCAGGGTCTTTGAGTTTTCTTCTTCCTGAGATCTTTAGTAATTTCAGTCTTTTTTTTTTCATCCTTTTTTCCCCTATTGCTCATTCTCTGACTCCCTCCCCTCTGATGGGGTGGTTTCCCTGGGAGCTGGATCTCAAAGCATCTCAGCCTCCTCCCACATTGGGCAATTTACAGTTTACTGGTCTAGGTATCTGTCCCAAGTGACTTTTGGAATCCCAGTACTGGCCATAGCTCAGTGCTGATCTGTTTTCCTCAGGCTTAATGGATTGCCACAGACCCTTCCCCCCCCACACACACACACAGAGTGCCCTGTTCTGGCATCCTGTCCTGTTCCCTCTGTTCCTCCATTCTTTTGCCCAGCATTGATGGTTCAGTTGCTACACTGGTGCTACAGGGTTGATTTCTATAGTTTATGTCTCTGAGGCTCTGGGAAGAAGGTATCAGGGATAGGATGTGGGATTGAGCTTATTATTGTATATTGTATAATAATATTAACATTATTATTACATGTGGGGTAGAGATTATTATTAAATAGTCGCTGTGTCTTTGACACATAATTTCTATTTTGGAGAGGTTCCAGAGGTCAAGGGGATCAGAGAAAACATCTATTCCTCTATCTTGTTGATCATGTGGCCAAGAAAGCTCGAGTGTACATTCTAATAGGGGGATACGATATATATAGATGTTTGGTATCCAGGGAAGTGTGTTTTGGTGTGATATCATCAAGCTAAAAGATGCTGTTTTTTGTGGTTGAGATTTCATTGATGTATCCTGGTGGAGAAATTCCCTCCACCAATACAAATCAGCAGCTATTTTGCAACTTAAAGCCCTGGGAATGCCTTAAGTGACTTGTCCAGGGTCACACAACCAGTATTTGTGGATATAAAAATTTAGTTCCATCTCTAATAATTTATGTCACCAGATCTCTATACACTATACCATACTGCCTCTCAAAAAGCATATTACTTTTTCAAATTTGTTTGTTATACAACCAGCCCAATTCTCCCCTTGTGACATTCTTGGGGAAGAGTATCAATGATGGAAAAGGGACATATATTCTTCCCCCATGCGCCTCATAAATCAGAGGACATTTCTCTGAAGGTTTAACATTGGTCCCAATTCATACATCTAAGAAGTAGACAGAATATGAACTGTATATTTATCCTATCAACTGTCTTTAAAACATTTGGTAAAATAATAGAGGAAATTTTTTGGATGTTTTCCTATTAAGGAGTGTGACAGAATTAGGATATAGTAGTCAAATATTAATGTTAAGCTAGGGAGATGATTTAATATGGTGTCCTTAGACACCAGAGATTCTCATCACAAAGTAACTCTCTATTTCTTAATAAGTTGGAGGGCTCAGTAACTTTTCAGAACAACAACAATAATAATAATGAAGAAGCTGTCTCTCATGCTAACAATAACAAATCCACATAGCCATACTTTGTTCTGTTTGCTAGGGCCAAATCTGATGAGGTAGCATTCTTCCTGACTTCTTTTTCATGGTGGGTCATGGTCAGGAAATGGACCAAACTAAATTACTTGTCCTGTTTATGTATTAAATCCAAGCCAATGCATTACCAAGAAGGCAAGGAGAAAGGCAGAGCTAATAAATACTGTACAAGGAAACTTGTCATGTATGTTGGAGGATCTACAGAACTGAGAGAGCTGAAGGTCATAGAGACCTAAAATTGGTGACTAAATGATTTGTTGTCAACAAAGCTGTAAAAACTCTGGAGGTTTGCTGAGTAGTAACTAGTGGCCAAGAGGATTTGGATCTTGGATCCAGACTCTAAATAGTTGGTCATAGAGGAAACAGCAGGAAGGAATTCAGTTGATCTTGAGTTTTTCCTTCCCACAGTAGAACTATAAACCCTCAGGATCAAGTACAGGGCAGAAAAATCTCTGCTGCAGGAAATCCTGGCTGGGCTTTTGTTCTTTAAAGACTGACTGCAGAGTGCCTTCTTATCCTTTTTCTCTTTGGACACCTGGGGTCCATGTGCAGCCTGTTATTGATTTTATCACAAATTTACAGTGATATTCAGTTGTTATCCATGATAATTTGGTTACTGTGAGTCATGATAAAAGCAAAACTAAACTCACAGCAGTTGTTTGCAAGAGAAGATCACTGATGCCCATGTGGATAGGAAACCCACAGATTCAAGTTGGCTGCAGTTCTTCCAATAGAGCCAGGAATGGGGTTATGAAGGCAATTGCAGGTAAAGAAGTCTAACCACATTTGATTTCAGGTATAAGCTAGTCATCCTGGATGGTATTCCTCTGAACAAATACAGTAATGAGAGATGTATTCATAGGATCATAGAATTTTAAGATCATCTAGTTCAACCCCTTTATTTGTCAGAGAATAAAGAGACTTGCCCAAACTTAGTAACTCATTAGTTGCCAAGCCAGCAGTAGGTCCCATATCTCCTGAATCTTAGTCTAGAGCTCTGTGATATTGGTAACAATTATTATTGTTGTGATGATGATGATGATGATGATGAAATTTACATAGCATTTTAAAGTTTACGAAACAACTTACATACACTGTTGTTATTGTTTTTCAGATGTTCAGTCCTGTCCAGTTCTTCATGGCCCCATGGACAATAGCCTGCTAGCCCCTTCTGTCCTCTGCTGTATCTCAGAGTCTGTCAAAGTTCATATTAGTTGTTTCCATAATACTGTCTATCCATTTCATCCTCTGCCATCCCCTTCCTTTTTGCCTTCAATCTTTCCCAG